CGCACGACTCGACCCGGCTAGCGTCAGCGTCTTCAGACAGCACTGTCAAGATCTGGGACGCGAGCAGCGGGACGTGTGTGCACACGCTCGAGGGCCATAGCAGTTCTGTTATGTCGGTGGCCTTCTCGCGCGACTCGACCCGGCTAGCGTCAGCGTCAGACGACAGCACTGTCAAGATCTGGGACGCAAGCAGCGGGACGTGTGTGCACACGCTCGAGGGCCATAGCAGTAATGTTAACTCGGTGGCCTTCTCGCACGACTCGACCCGGCTAGCGTCAGCGTCTTGGGACAGCATTGTCAAGATCTGGGACGCGAGCAGCGGGACGTGTGTGCACACGCTCGAGGGCCATAGCAGTACTGTTTGGTCGGTGGCCTTCTCGCACGACTCAGCCCAACTAGCGTCAGCGTCAGACGACAGCACTGTCAAGATCTGGGACGCGAGCAGCGGGACGTGTGTGCACACGCTCGAGGGCCATAGCAGCCATGTTAGGTCGGTGGCCTTCTCGCACGACTCGACCCGGCTAGCGTCAGCGTCTTCGGACAGGACTGTCAAGATCTGGGACGCGAGCAGTGGGACGTGTATACACACTCTTGAGGTTGAGAGAGTTCTTTTCGACTTATCTTTCGACTCTACGGGTACTTCCCTCCATACAGAAATTGGAATCATCGCTATCCCTCCTTTCCAGGTTTCTACTAGCACAGACATGACAGCATCAAAACCACAGTACCAAAATATCAGTCTAAGTCCAGATATGGTTTGGATTGTGCGCGCCGGAAGCAATGTACTGTGGGTACCGTCTGAGTATCGACCGTCAAGGTCAGCCGTGAGTGGGGCTCTAGTAGGCATGGGAGTAGGATCAGGGAGGATATGGTTTTGTGAGGTGAAATAGATAAGCAATCACGAGTAATAGAAGCATATTTGCAGTACTTATATATTACATATACCTACATTAAGGTAGGTCTATCCTTACATCAACTAGCATGTAGTTATATAATATTAGTGCCGTGGTGTCTATCTCTAGCCGACTTCTAAGGACAGGCAGCAGGTGACCATGCACGTAAATAGTGGTTAGCCGAAGCCTCTGGAGCTTTGCGCCACAGCTTAAGCCATTTTGGCATAGCGTAGGTGTATATTGCATACCACTAAGCTTTTAATACTGGCTGTGTCAGCACGCTAACTCTTTTCGCTCAATCTGATGAACTGGCACGTCGCACCGGAGTAACTCGGAGAGCACCTAGATCAGGGCTGCACACGTTTCTAAGAGCGGGACTATATTATACCGCTATTAAGGTATCCTATGACGGCTCCGAAGTATTAAGCGATAGTGTTACTTAAGAGAGAGCAGGGGTGTTTTGATATTACACCTTCTATGCTAAAGATAAGAAGCTTAAGAACACAAGCTACAACGCTGTAATTTTACTATATAGAGCTTGCACTAGGTAGAGATAAAGGTAAAAAATACAACCTTATTAACTTGAACCTATACGATTGTGCAAGGTGGGTATAACATGGTTGAACAACATTCGTGGTTCGTTGCGGGGGGATGTTCGACCCGCAGGGACAGACGTTACTTTTAGAGGGATGCGCAGATGTCTTGTTCTTGTGAAAACAGTTAACAGTCGCTACTGGAAAATGACCAACGCTGTCGTCACCTCCGCGCTTGATTTGAGGAGTGCCTTGTCGCATAGCACGGCAGAGCACCTCTCCTCCAGCTCTACTACTCAGCTTGCATCGCTTCTAGTAAGTTATGCGCCGCACAATCGAGCAAGAGTGGCGGTACACGACCGATCCTTATTTACCGCCTTGAACGGCCCCAGATTTCCGTCCCGGAGATGATCCGGACGAGCACGTGTGGAAGTACGGGTTCAGAGATAACACTGGAAAGGTGATCAAGGGCAGAGGCACAATGAAGCAAATAGAGATACATCGGGCATCACGGGGCCGGGAGATACAGGAGAGGCAGACAATATAGTCGGAGTCTTGCTCGTACGTTGCTATGAAGGGATTTGCTTTATTCTAGTCTGAAAAGCTCTTAGTCGATGATCTATCCTGATAGTCCATGTCACGATCTGTGCGCTTCGCTGCTCTCTCCTCTTCCCTGGCGTATATTGCCTCATCTCCCGCTCTAATCTCTTCCGGAGGTGTTTCCGACCGTTTTCGCTTCTTGACCTCCTTAGCAAAGACATGCTTGCCTAGTGCTTTCTCTTCTTTGCCATCTGCCGCATTAAGGTATTCGCAGAGTTTTGTTCCAGAAATGTGGACAAGTGTGTCTTCGTCACCCATTTCCTTCTGGGCGAGTCCTTCGTAGGCGAATTCGCTGAGGCGGAGCTGTAGGCCAGGATAATCAACGGGATTTCCTTCTTCATCGCGAAAAGCCTTGAGGAACGTCAGAAACTTTCGAATATTGTTAAGAGGGTTGGAATTACCACATCTGCGACCTCTTCTACAGCTTGTAATTCAAGTCCGTCATCAGTATTGAACAACTTGGGTCGCCAGACCGACAACGTTGCTTTGCGCGACTCCTTATTGCCGTACTCAATGTGTACGCATACAACAGCCCGTATGCTAGCATCCGAGTCCAATATATAATTCTCAGCTAGCCTGCCTAAACACGGCTTCTTCTGCGAGTACGCGACTTCAACTATAACACCTGGGTATTGTGCGTGTTTATGCCTGAATGACGCGTCTGGCTCGTACTTCGATTTAGACGACATGCTATCGCCGAGACGTATATGGGTCGATCGGGCAGGATGCACTTTTTGCGCGAATTCTGCCTTCTTGCCTGATCCATTTTGTATTGTTTTTAGCTGGCTCCGAATGTCGTCCTCCACTTTGTCGATGAAACGTTCGTGTATCTCGGTAGGCATGCGAACGACTAATTTGCGTTTGTCTTCGTCGTAGTCATACCTGGCGCAAACTCTGTTAGATGTAACCTCTGCCGTTTCTAAAGTCTACTCACCGTATCTTCTCGTCCACGTATCCCGAAAGCACATCGTCTTGTTGAAGCGTGCTCTCTATCTGATCGTACTCTCCGTCTGCAAGCTGAAACTCCGTCCGCGCGTCTCGCTCAGCGTCAGTTCCTGCGTGAATTTGTTTGAAAAGAGCGATAACACGATGCGCTTCTGCAAATGGCTTCTTCGCGGTCGATGGCGGCGTCAACGGGTCATCTGTGAATCTCGGGGGTGGCGTGACGTTCTGATAATTCATTAAAACTGTTTGCGATATGGGCATAGCTTTACGTTGTGCTGCATCGTGAAGTTGGTTGGAAGCCGTCGCTCTCGCGCAATCGGACGGATCAATCGAACCTTGGCTGCTTTTGGTTGACTCAGCAACCGCGCCACACAGGCAGAGAGCCAATAACGTAACTGTGGCTGATGGGACAAGCGTACATTCGCGCGAGCATTTTTTTTTTTCAATGTGTATATTGACATCACGCCATGTCAATCGTTTATCAATCCCAATTTAGCATCTTCAGTAGTATAGAGGTCAGTATTTCCGCTTGTCAAGCAATTGACAGATCGCGGGAGACCGGGGTTCGATTCCCCGCTGGAGAGATTCAGTTCGATTTTTTTATCCACTTAGTGGACGTTAAGTCGCTCTCTAGAAACTATTATAGATACACTTAGTTCAAGCGAGGGTGTTCTTTTTTTGCTAGCTATCTAAATAAGTGAGAGGTAGCTTTTCACAATTAATAAGTACTAGCTTAATTAATGCTACTTTAGTAACGTCCATCCCTGTGGGTCGAACATCCCTCCGCAACGAACCACCAACACGGCCCAAGCACCTTACGCCCAAGCCGCAGAGGCTCTTAGATATAAATACACATTTTTATGCTTGCTATATCTACCTCTATCTATCGCAAGTCTTAAATAGTAAAATTACAGCGATCTAAGGGGCATACGTGAGTCTTTTGTGTTAAGCTTGGGAAGGTGCAACGCCAAAACACCCCTGTCTTACCTCTTATAGAAGCTCTACTTGCCTATTCGGAGATTGTATATAACTTGGAGTAAGCTAAAGAATCTTGAGCCATACTGTAAAGATATGCAGCCTCTGTTTAGATGCGCTCCGAGTTTTTCCGGCTCGGTGTGCCAGTCCTTCGCATTAGCGAAAGGATTTAAAACGCTGGCACAGCTGGATTGCGAACGCTTAGCGGCCTACGATGTACACCTGCGCTATGCCAAAAGGGCTGAAGCTGTGGCGCCTGGTCGCATGCACTGCCTCACTAGGCAGCCTTCGCATCAGCCCAGCATAAGCTATCTCTGCTCTTAAGCTCTTTCACGACTATGTCTTTCTACTCTCGACACTGTCAAAGTTATTCGCACTTCGCCTTTCCTGAACTTAAGCCAATATTGTAAACACCATGCGACTTCTCCACTTTGACGAGCTGGGAAGGCCCGTCCTGACAGATTTCCATGGCAAAACGATTCCACCCTACGCCATTCTGTCGCACAGATGGAGCGGTTCCGAGATTCTTTTCAACGACATTCAGAGCGGAGCTTACAGGGAGAAGGAAGAAAGCTATAAAAAGCTTGTATTTTGTGCCGAACAGGCAGCTCAGGACAAGCTGCAGTACTTCTGGATCGACACTTGTTGCATTGACAAGTGGAATCTCGCTGAGCTCTCAAAGTCGATCAACTCAATGTTCCAGTGGTATAAAAATGCGGCACGATGCTACGTCTTCTTGTCAGATGTGTCAGTGTCGACCACGACCAAGCCAGCCCAACGCAGCGATTGGGAGGCGTCGTTCCGTGCAAGCGCATGGTTTACGCGGGGATGGACGCTTCAAGAGCTTATCGCGCCAGATTCCGTTGAGTTCTTCTCATGCGAAGGACGACGCATAGGCGACAAAACATCGCTCGACCAGCTCATACACGAGATCACCAATATCCCACTTGCGGCATTGCACAACTGCCCCTTGGACCTGTTCCCTATATCCGAGCGAGAGAGATGGGCCGAAAATCGCAGAACAACTGAAGCAGAAGACACTGTTTACTGCCTGCTTGGGATCCTCGGCATCTCTATGCCCACCGTTTATGGCGAAGGACAGGAGAGTGCACGAAGCAGACTGCTGGCTGAAATAGAGGCAGGTGATAACGTACCGTCGATCATCCCGTTCTCACGAAACCCCCGCTTCGTCGGTCGAGAGTCACAGCTCGCCAAGCTAGAAGCAAAGCTCTTCACCAACGAACAGACCACTACTACGTTAGCGATCGTCGGACCTGGGGGAACAGGCAAGACGCAGCTTGCGCTCGAGATTGCACACAGGACAAGACAGAACAGAAAAAGCTGCTCAGTCTTCTGGATGGACGCAAGCGACAAAGATAGTCTCTACCAGTCGTATGCAAGTGTTGCGCAGAAGCTTGGTGTTCTAGGCTGGGACGACGATCAGGCCGACATGAAGCAGTTTATAAAACGCTGTTTAGTAGAGGTTGGTGCTCGACAATGCTTGCTGATCTTCGACAACGCAGAGCACATCACTCTGCGATCTAGCAGCTCGACCACGACAGAAGCCGCAGACCTGGTCGACTGTCTGCCGCAGTCTACGCTATGTTCTGTTATTTTCACAACAACGAACAGTGACACAGCTCAGGCGCTCGCTCCACAGAACGTCGCAGAGCTGCGAGAGCTGACACTAGACGCAGCGCTAAAGATGCTGCAAGTCCGCTTAGCGAGGCCACTTGCGAACATTGAGCAGCAGGAAGCCGAACACTTGCTGGCAGAGCTATCGTATCTCCCTCTGGCAGTCATGCAAGCAGCGGCCTGCATGAATGCTAGCGATATGGCGGTGCGAGAGTATCGATCACGACTGAACAAGTACAGAGAACTCGCTAGCGAACACAGCGGTGACTTGTCTACATGCAGACTAACTTTACTAGATTCTAGTATGAAAGACCCTGTAACTATTACAACTTTTCTTTCCGTAGACCAAATAAGTCGGGATCAAGGATTCGCTGTAGACTGTCTGTTTCTTGTTGCATGCGTGGATCGAAAAGACATCTCGCTCGATCTTCTAGAAGCAGCCTCGATGCAAGCAAGAGAAAATGCTGTCAAGTTACTTGACAAGTACGCGCTCATCACTAGGCGACCTGCGGAGTCTGCCCTCGATCTTCATCGATTAGTGCATCAATCCCTGCGCGAGCGGCTGCAAATGCAGCGACAGCTTATACAGTTCACTCAACGCGCTATTACACAGCTACTTCGGGTGTTTCCAAACGATAACTATAGTAACAGAAGCAAATGGAGACGACTGCTTCCACACGCCAAGTATGCTTTGTCGCATAGTCCGATAGATGATAATAACGACGAGCGATGGTATCTTGCATGGAAGTGTGCTAGGAGTCTGTCTAGTGACGGACGGTATGAGGAAGCAGCAGTGCTGCAGGTGCAAGTGATGCAGACAAGGAAGAAAATGCTTGGCGACGAGCATCCAGACGCGCTGAATAGCATGGACAATCTAGCGAGGATGTATACGAGCCAAGGGCGATGGAAAGAGGCTGAAGAGCTG